AAAAAAATTTGGAGGCGGATATGTAAGCTGCGAATTAATGACACTTGGAGAATAAGTTCCAGTTAATTTAGAGTTATTGGCGTACGGGGAGACAGCAAGAGAAGGCTGAGTATGAGACGTAAAGGAGGTGGGGACATAGTTTTTAAACATTGGAATGCTAGGGGAGTTAGAACATGGATAGACTTGTTGGTAGTTAAATAATGGAGGAAGGGGAGGAGGAGGAGGGAGGCTAGAAGGAAAGTAGGGGCTAATGGGTGAGGGTAGGCCACTAAAAGAATGAAATGGTGTCAAACCAGGTCTAGATTGGAAGTCAAAGGAGATAGGTTGACGTACCTGAGAGCAATTGGCCTTAAGTGGTGGGAAGCCTGAACTACGTTGGGGCATAAATGATTTAGGGCAATTCATGTATGAATTATTTGCTGGATATATAGTAGGGCTTTGATAAGTAACCGGTACGCAGGACAGAGAATTATTCGGGGATATAATTGGAGCTGCGGGGTTTGTAGACGTGCTGGGCTGAACAGACTTGTTAGATCTAAGAAAAGGCATCGTACCCCTAAATGGAACTGTACTACATATCTTTTGGGTCGGAGTGTGGTTCAATTTTCGAGTCTCACCGTTCTGTCGCCAAGCCACTGGTGACTTAACTGTAGACCTTACAGCACCCAGTTGGACAATAGAAGTTATCGGTCTAGCTGATGTAGACGGATTTTCATGTGTCTCAGCGGGACTATCCGGAGGATACGAAACGACAAATGGGGCTGCTGCTGCTGCTGCAAGTTTAGGGGCAGGCAAATGCGTCAAGTGGCTTGAGTGAGATGGAGATGGAGGAGAAAGAGGAAGGAGGGAGTCAGATGTCGCAGGAGTAGGAGAAGCTGAATCCTTACGGCCACTTGTATTATGACCGAGTTGGGGAGCATAAGACTGAGAAGCAGTGGGTTTACGTTAGAATGGAGACCCGATTCTACGCTTCACAGGAGTAAGATCATGACAAAGGAAAAATTTTGCCTTTTCTAGGTACGCAGTGACACGCTCTCGATGAGTAAAGATTGTGTCAACTTCGATTGATGAAAACAATTTGACTAAGATGGGTGGATTTGTACTACGGGAGGACAAGCGTTTGGCATCGGCTATTTTGTAGTTGAAGCTACATGAATACAGAAAATTGGTCGCAACATCAATTGGCCGAGCAGATCGAGGAACATTTTTTAGCAGGAAGTTGTAAGAACGCTTCTGTCTATCACTAGATTCACTGGCGATCCGGTGAACAAGTGAGTCGAGACGCCTAAATTCTTCAGAGGGAATATCAGAGATGTTCCCGTCGAATAAATGTCCAAGAATTGTCAGCAAAGAGCCAAACTTTAGCTTAAAGTCATTGCAGTGGTCAAGCGCAGACAGATCAAGCTGCCGACCAATTACAACGGGTGACGACTGACTAGTAATATCATCTGACTTAGATTTAGGTAAAGCTTCTGACTTACGTTTAGTTAGGCCATGTTTACTTACAAGAGCCGAGAGCTTACGTCGACCAGTGACTTTTGGTCTCATCTTGTCTCGAGGCAATTTGTGATTAAGAAAACTTCTGGCAGATAAGTTGACTGAATTTCAGCTAGCGGCTAACGATGTAAAAATAAATTACAACAGTTAGAGAGAAATCGGATGCACAAAATGAGAATTGCAGGGTGCGATTAGTGAACAACGGGCATACACTAGCAGAACTCAAAAGGAGATGGCAGCGGGCAGTTCTGAGAGAAGAGGCCTGTATTTAAGGAAATTCAAACAAAAAAACAGGTACTTAAATCGTTAGATCTCACAGAAAAACCACTAAAAATAATATCCTCCACTTATCTTCAAATTTAAAACCAGCGGCTTGACGTCAAGGCGACTTGACCTTGTCTTTTTCATCATTTGATGAGTTTCGGCCAATAAACACCCTCCCTGCAGTTTCGAAGATCTTAGAGACATTGATCAAAGATAAGATGATGTGCCACTTAACAGTGAATAACTTGCTGAGTGCTGCTCAGCATGGATTCCTCAAAGCTCGATCTTGTGACACCTGTCAACTCTCTTTCTTTGACTATATTCTCCAATCTAGGGACAATGGCTTTGCACTTTACATAGTATATTTCGATTTCACTAAGGCTTTTGATCGTGTTGGCCATGCCCTTCTTCTCTTGAAACTGTCCTCCTTCGGAATAGGTGAGAAACTTTTGAATTTTATATCCTCTTACCTGGACACTCGTACACAACGAGTTAAGATTTCCAATACTATCTCCAAACCCACACGTGTGAGGAGTGGCGTCATTCAGGGTAGTGTACTCGGCCTGCTTTTATTTCGCCTTTTCGTTAACGATGTATCTGATTTTTTTCAGAATGGTAAGTCTTTCATGTATGCCGATGATCTGAAGGTTGCATATCGAGATAAGCCGGCAGATCATGACATCGTGCTCGAGCTCTTTAAGAGCGATCTACAGGCTTTCGCCCAATGGTGCCGCACATGGCACCTTTCTCTTTCTTGACATAAGTGCTCCGTCATGGTGGTTGGCGACGACCGCCTACGTCAATTAAGTATTGAAGCTCACGCCATTAATGTGCCTGGGGTTATTAATGATCTGGGCGTATCATACTCCAAGAGTCTCAATCTCTCGGAGCACTGCGCCTTAATAGTCTCCAAAGCACGTAGAACGACCTGGTTTATCCTCCGAAACTTTAAAAGTAGGGACATTAGAATGCGCCTTTATAACATGTACGTTAGACCTGGTCTGGAATACGGTTCGTTTTTATTCAGCCTCATGCGTGCTACTGAGCGGAAGAAAATAGAATCCGTTCAACATTTTTTTAGCCAAGAGAATTTTAACCCCGGAACACCGACATTTGTCTTACCAAGAACGTTGCCGGCTTACGGGCCTTGATCCTTTATGGTTCCGTAGATTACAAAAGGGACTGTTTTCTCTATTTAAACTCTTATATAATCACACATTTAATCCACTCACCTCTTTAAGACACCATGTCCACCCACGACGTAACAGTCACCGTGAGGTCTTTTGATTTCTTCCTCTGGCACGTACTGTTAAATATCGTCGGTTTTTTCCTAAAAATGCAATTGCTATTTGGAATAAACTACCCATGAGTGTGAAAAATCTGCAAAATTATCCCTTAGTTAAGAGAACTATTACTCGATTTTTGCATTCCGAAAAGCTCCCACAACTTTTGGGTTCTGAATCCACTGATCGACTCTACCGTATCGATGGCGTTTGTGGTCTCTGAACACTGTGGCCAGTCTCGCCAGCTGTTCCTCAACGCCTCTACTTTGAGTATCCCCAACTTCATGAAAGGAATTCACGTCCGATAATCTCCGATACCGTGCAACGCCCCCCCCCACCCCTTCTTGACGGTCGAAAGTCTACCACCAGCAGTTTTTTCTCCTGAGCGCGCCAAACCATAAAAACCACCATCAACTATATTTTTATTACTTTACCTCAGGAGTTTTTTTCACTGCTGGTCGGATTTGTGTTTAATCGCTTCCCTTGACAATGCCTGTAACCTGGCATTTAATAAATTATTATTATGTGCACCTGTATGTCGTAGGCCCCTTGTCTCCATTCAATGGTTTCACCCACCTCCTAACCTGTGTCGATCGATATACCCGCTAGGCTGAAGCTATTCCTTTGTCGAATGTGCAGGCTGAAACCATCGTGAAGGCCTTCCTCAGTCGTTGGGTCGCCATGCTCGGTGCCCCATGGACGGTTACGACTGATCGTGATGCCCAGTTTGAGCCGGCATTCTTCCAGAGGTAACTCAATTTCCTTGGCTGCACACGCATTCGGACGACAGCCTACCACCCAGCAGCCAACGGTACGGTGGAACGTTTTCATCGCCAGCTAAATACTGCCCTGCGTGTCATAGAAGATCCAGGAAACTGGTCGGACAACCTTCCTCTTGCCCTCCTCGGCATCCCCGCAGCTCT